TAAGAGCTACTTCAAATAATAGTTAAAAAAAAAAAAATCCCCCACAGAGCTTCATCTACTGAGGACTGGCAAATGTCACTGGGCTGGAGGAGATTAAAAGATATTAAATTTGTTTTCTTTTCTTTCTTGTTCCCACTCTCAGCTGGTTCAAATTGTTCCGTGAGAAATACCATGGCAGGCAGCTGTCTGCTTCGTCGTCATCATGAAAAATTCAACTTTAAATAAATAAAGAAATAATCTGAAACTAAACAGGGCAGTTGTGTAGAATTCAGTGTTTATTTATTTTTTTACTTTTTGCCTACTCAGAGGCACTTTTACGCCTCAGAGCTGAGCTGTGCCCTGGTGTGCCAGGATTCCTGATGGGGTCCCCACCTTCTGAGCAGAGACCTGGCACCGCAGCTCACCCTGGACTGGGATCTTCTGGAGGTTTGCCTGTCTCCAAAGGCACTTCCTCATCTTCTTCAGTTCCTGGACACTCTCTTCGTGTCAGCTGGTGGCAGGAGTGCAGGAGACATCCCTGGGGTGCTGTGTCCCTGCCTCACCCTGTGTAGAAACAGTCAATAAATTTTCGTGGAAAGGGCAGTCATTATCTGGCCAGCCCTCTTGCCTTGTTCAGTAGGTCAGGAACCCACACAGGGCTCGATTTTTCTCATGGTATTGATGAGATAATTCAATAATATATCTTAAATAAGAGAGCAACCCTCTGTGCTGCAGATAGAGCCAGATAAAAGCATGAACACAGGTATAGAAAACCAAAGAAAGGGCTTTGAAAGACCAGGTTTGTGATAAGACTTCTGGTAATTTGCTGACACAGAGTTTGATCAAACTCAGTTTAATCTAAACTGGTTAATAAGACTCCCAATGAGGTGATAAAGATATTTTGTGTTTACCTAGTTTTATAAAAACAGCTACAGTTCAGACACAGTTGCATGTTTATCCCTTGACCTATTTTTAGTTACGATAACTGCAGGAGTGATGTATTTCACAAGTTAGGTAACACAACTGTGGTAAGTCTGACTGATAAAGAGATGAATCGAGAGGAACAGAATTGCTTCTAGTCCAGCATGATGCTGTGTAAAAGTTGTTTCTGCAAGCGAATTTGATCTTGTTTCGAAACTGCACTCTCAGCCTCCTAGGAGGGATGACATGTGACAGCACAGATCTGGCAGAAGAAATTAAGAAGGAAATGTTAGCAGTCCCTCTCTGTCCACGTAGTAACTGTGTTAGTGTTCCTTCTTACTGACAGATTCTTAAAAGATTCCTGGTCTGAACTGAGAGATATCTTTTTTCTCTTTTTTTTTTTTTTTTTTTTTTTTTTTTTAAGGGTGGACTTTTTTTTTTTGTGCAATGTAATCCTATTCAAACAGCTTCTGTTGACTTATGATACCTACTGGGGTGAATGCTGCAAAGGACTGGACTTTCCAGTCCAGCAAGTGAAAGAAGGCTTCTGTGTGCTGGAGATGTGAGTGCAAACACCAAGTCAGCTACAGCCCTGTGTGACTCGGCATGACTTCCGTGTCCAAGCTTTTCAATTATAAAATCATTCTAAGCAGCACTTCTTGGAATCACAGGAAAATAAATCGCTAATTTATCACTAAACTCTTGGGACCTGTTTTAGGCAAGTTGGAGGGTCAGCTTAAGTCTCTTGTCTCTACACAGCAATTTTCTGTGCCAAACTGAAATGGGAAACAGACTCTTTCCTAACAACTGCAAACAAAGAGTTTGTGATTAATAGCTGCCAAGGACTTGCATTTTGCATCATGGGGCATTGGTTTGGATACAGTGCTTATGCTTGTTAGTGGTGCTGATAAGACATGAAGTGTTTGAAGTGTTTTTCTTGTGTTGGAAGGTAACTGTACAAACTGACCTGTTGTCACCTAAGTGTGTCTTGAATGATGGATGACACAGAAGCCACTGGTGTGTGGCCTGTAATTCCCTGGAATGCCAGATGCAGAGATCACCTCAAAGAACATGTGAGGTGCCTTCTATAACCACAGAGTGGGTAAGTTTGGAAGGGACCATTGGAGGTCATCTGGTCCAACCTCCCTGCTCATGCAGGGTTCCCAGGAGCGCATGACTCAGGATTGTGTCCAGATGGCTTTTGAATATCTTCAGGGAAAAGATCTCCACAACCTGTTCCAGTGCTCAGTCACTCTCACTGAACAGAAGTTCTTCCTTAAGTTCATGTGCATCAGTTTCTGCCTGTTGCCTCTTGTCCTATTGCTTGGAACAACCAAGCAGAGCCTGGATCCATCCTCTGACACCTTCCTTTCCAATACTTAAATATATTGATGGAGTCCCCTCTCAGTCATCTTTTCTTGAGGTTGAACAGGCCCAGCTCCCTCAGCCTTTCCTTGTAAATGAGGTGCTCCAGTTCCCTAATCATCTTTGTAACCCTGTTCTGGACTTGCTCCAGGAGCTCCATAATAATCCTCAAATGGTGACCATATTACAATGATTGCATTCCATATCATCTAATGAACGTGGTGAAGGTCCTAATGCCCACCACACATTGAGAGGAAAAGTCCCAGAGCCTAACCAACATCTATAGGGGTTATGGGGGTTCTCTCCCTGTGGTGTTGGGCTGTACTCAATTATTCCTGAGAGCAGTTTCTCTTCTTCTGGAAAAAAAAGAGAGGTTAGAGAGATTACACTTATGGGGAAATGTGAACTTTTGTGTATGTTTGCTACAAATATGAGAAAGATTCACTTTGCAAGTTGGAAAAGCAACTAATAGAGTTTCTTTGGCATGGCACAAGGGCTACTGAGAAAAGAGTCTGGAGTCAGGGTTGTCGAAGAGGGAAAAGGGAGTGCTTTTTTGAGCAAAAGAGATATTTCAGCTTTCACAGGTAAAAAGATTTAAAAAATGAATTTGACTACAGGACAGATGGATTCAGATCACTAAGTAGCTACACATGTTTTCTCTTGGGGCTTTCCACTTGTGGTTTACCAGCCATGCCACAATAACTGTCTTTCACTTTTCTGTGAAAGTAAGTCCATTTCTTAGAGTCTTGCTCCAAACCTGCATCAAGTGTTGCTTTCCTGTGCATGTGTTCAAGCTACTTGGGATATGTAGTCCCTGTGAGCTGCTACCTTTAATGAAGACAAACAGAGGGATGCTGGTGCTCAAGTGCAACACTGAACTGGGACAGTGCAATGAGCTGGTTTCAGTTCTGGATGTGGGAGTGTTGTACCTCTGCTCTGCTTGGGGTTGTAAATTTGGGTGAGAAATGGATGTATCAGCCTGGGCTTAGTGCTGCCTTCAGGCTACTGCATGGCTTTCACTCAGTGTGCTCAAGGTATTTTGTTGTGTGAGACCAAAAAAAGCAAAGGTGGTCGAGTCTGTGTTGCGTTGGTGTCTCCTCATCTGAGGGCTTTGGGAAGGAGCACTCGTATGCCCTGAGGGATGTGACTGAAAGCAAAACTGCCACTTGGATTGGGGGCAATGGTTTGGAGTGACTTGTGTGTGCGTGCTGGTAGATTTAGTCAAACACCCAGAAGAATGAATGGATTTTATTTAAAATATAAACGTGGCACGTGAAGACAAAAACTCTGTTATTACAAAACTCCTACGTCCTTTGAATGGTAACAAACAACTGGGACCCTCTAAAAATAGCTGGAACCCCAAACCAATTGAAAGCACAGATTTTGCAAGAACGGGCTTTTGCATTTAGATGTATCCATGAAGTAGCACAGAGGTAAGAAAATCCAAGCAGTCTAGATCAGTTTAACAACATATTGTGGAGTGACTACTTGGTCATTTCTTACATCTCTGAACCGTTACAGCTTCTTGCAGTTGTAGCATATAAAAGTTATAAAAGTTGGAAAACTGTTTAGGAAAAAGGCTTCTGTCAGTTACAGCAGCACCAAAGAGACTGCACAAAACAACTTCTTGTGATAGATAGCAAGGAAAGGTCCACAGGACTTCTTACTGAACCACTAGGAAATGGTTACCCTGTACATCTGCACGGGTGTTATTCACATTTTTAAGGTGCCTGCAAGCTTTCTTCAAGCAAGTTCCCTTTATGGTTCACTGAAGGCTAGATCTGGACTCAGAAAATATGTCACACCTCTCATGGATGTGAGAGAAGCACAGTTATCCAGCTTGGAGCCTCCTTGGGGGTATTGCTTCGACAAAAGCTAACTGCTGCACTATTGCCTAATGACTCTGGTTCCACGTGATGGGAGAACAGGACAACAAAATTTTCACTTGGCTGGGACTTGACAGCTGATCTTGATATGAAAAATCAATGTCCCAGCTCGCAGTTGACACCAGAGTGCCTCCCACACACAGAACAAGGGCAAACAAGGCTGTGACTTATTCACAAAAATGGTACAATTTTTGTCTAGTAACCAGTGCAAGGGAAGCTGAGTATTTCCAGAACTCAGTCTAAAATTGTAATCTCCATCCCCCTATGATGAAACTGTCCCACCTGGGCAAGTGAGCTAATATAGATTCCTCCTCCTTCAAAACCTCATACCATCAGCAAAGTTTGCTGCAGCCAGTTTCTCTTGGGGGCTGAAACAGCAAGGCACATGCACTGGCACAAGGAAACTGCAGTTCTTGGCTTTCTGGACATTCATGGACAACAGCCTGACAGCACTTTTGTTTTGTTTTGTTTTGTTCTGTTTTTTTGTTGGTTTTTTTGTTATGTTTTGTTGGGTAGGTGGAGGGATGAGACACAAGCAGAGGAACAGTATAAAAGCTTCAGTTTAAAATCCTCCCTGAAAGGAGGATCTGAAGCCACAGGAGTGTGCTTAAATAAAGATTCGGTTGAATCAAGCAGAACTTGACCGTGGTTTTTGTTTCACCCCGAAAAGGGTAAGTCCAGGTAACCCAACATTAACATAACATAAGGCACTATTTTTAATTGGTCAGAATTCCACAGCCTGTTCTTTCGCACAGTATGCTCTGACTCCTGTAAAAAGTGGAAATCCCCTTTTCGGTGGAATATTTGGTAAAAAACAAAATGTTGCTATCAAGTGCATTTAAACATCAGTTTTGGAGGCCTGGGTCAAAGCGTTCTGCCTAGTTCTGTACACAATAACATGCAGCTGGTGAAACCAGACAATGAAAAGGACGTACTGTAGACAGATAAACATGGAAAGGGTTAGTTACAATTCTCACTTTGCAGAGTCCTTTGGTTTTATTTCTTTTAGCTGCCTTTCTTCACATCCAGTAGTCATCAGGTGAGGTGACACAACAGGAACTTCCCATGCTCCTGAAAGGTGGCTGCTTCTGCTCCCAGCAAAATCCTCAAAGATGATGATGAGAGACTGGACAGTCACCAATTTCCAGTGCTCTGGCACAGAGCAGTTGATTCCCAGGCTTACTGCATTCCTCAGTGCAGGTACTCAAATCACTGACAGTCACAGAGGACTGTCCCAGGTGGTTAACTGGAGTGGTCACACAACTGCTGTGTGGATACAGTCAGCAGCTGAAATGAAAATCCAGCAGATTTTCCTGTCTCTTGTGTTGGAGAAGCTTGTTTTGTTTTGTTTTGTTTTGTTGTTGTTTTTTTTTTTGCCATCTCTCTTGGCAGAAATCTTTCAGTTGTATTACAAACAGTGCTGCCATTGAGACAGGGAGTGATGCTTCTCTTGACACATCTCCAGCTGCCCAAATTGTTGGCAGACTTTCCATTTAGGCAGGCACTGTAAAAACAGAACAATTTCTTTTCAGAAAAAAAAAAATAGAAAAAAACTCTCCACAAAATAATCATGTCCTAGCATTGTTTTTTCTATGCAATCAGTGGAACAAAGCTATGGAAAAGAGGTATTCATGCTGCTGAGAGAGAACTGGCTGGGGTGAAGCCCTGTCTCTGCCCGGGTACCCAAGAAACTGGGGGCCTTCTGTCCTTGTTCCACAACCTGGAAGTGCCTCTCTCTGCAAATGCAAAAAAAGGGCACTCCTGCTAACATCCCCCTCCCTTGTGAGGGGATACCAGTGTCACCTTGGGTTTCAGAGAATGAGAAGCACAAATTCTGTCTGTGGTCAAGGGAAAACGGCTTTCCGAGGCTCCTCTAAGGAAGTGAGGGGATCCCTCCAGGGACCAGTTCAGAATTGCTCCAGAGCACTCTGCCCCACTCTATAATGGGTGTCTGGAGAGACTAACCCCACTAGGATGGAATTACTCTTCTTTACAACCTGCCTTCCTCACAGTTTCCAACCCTTTTTTTTCCCCCCTTTTAACAGAAAAGCTAGTTTCAGTAATCTCTTTTTGGTTTGCAGTATTTGGGATTCCCACTGCCCATGAAGCAATCTGGCCTTCTTCATAAAGTGAAACCACCAGAAGCACATTTCCATCAGTATTGAAAAGCAAAATGCATGGCAGAGCATCCCCCTGGGTGCACCTCCACAGTGCCTTATTCCCCATCTACCACACACAACCTGCTTGAAAATATGAAATGATGACTGAATTAGGCTGGAGTTTCTCCAAGAGCCATCTTTTTTCCCCAGGGTAGTACCAGCTATATTACTAAATAATTTCTGACAGATACTAGTTTTCTCTTTTGTTAAAAAAAAAAAAAAAGAAATGGAATAGCAACAACTTGGGAGAGATGGAGGCTTGACAGCCTGGACAAACTCTCCATCTCAGTGCTCAACTACCAGTACACTTTTCTTCCTAAAATCCAGCTTAAGTCTCCTTTGTTTAAATCTGTTGGACCTTAAGTGCTGTGTCAGCTGGGTTAGCACAATAAATAACTTGTCCCATCCTCTCTAAGGACGCTCTGAAGAGGTTTGTTTATCGTGTCCTTAATCGGCCTAAACAAACATAACCAATCTTCCAGCACGTCCCTAGATCATTCTCATTTCTCTGGTATTGGTCCAAGTTGCCCTTAAATTAGGATGCCCAGAAGATGGTGGGACAGCAGTGAGCCACCAAAGCTGCTGTCCCACCTCCTCTTCCACAAATGGTGCAGAGACATGCCAAGGAAAAGGTAGTGTCTGGAAGGCAAGTGTCTTTGCTTTGTTCTTAATGAACAAATCGTGCTACAGCAGCCTTCAAAATAAAACAAATATTTACTCTTACTTACGTCACAGAGATTTTTCTATTTATGAGCAAAGTCAAGGCCCTCGTATAAGTAGGGCCTTCTATAAGTCAGTCTGTAAAGGAAGTTGACCTTAAATGAACTGTTTGTGTTGTGTTAATGTATGTTAATGTAATCCACAGGAACAAAATGAGAAACTCTCTTTATTTTAAGGAGAAAAATCCATCCTCCTCTCTACATTATGCTCTGCTGGAAACAGTGCAATGCCTTTCATTGTTTAGCAAACACAAATGTTGGGGATCAGGCTGTGGTCTGGAAAATAACTGACCATTAACCCAGTTTCCATGACCACAAAAGAAGTTCCTGAGAAAGTTTTTTAATTTATGGGGTTATATTGCTTCCGCTTGATACTGTGAATTGGGTACATTCACAGCATCTGCTACAGCAAACTATGCTTTAACTATTACAGCTTTGGTAGAATCACAGTATTTTCTGCCTGTTCTGCAGAGACACAGGCAACAGTCATTTTCTCAAGTAGAAACTACCAAAGGCAGATATTTCAACCTCTCTATACTCTCAAAATCCCCTGTTCTGAGTTTGTTTTCCAAATCTATCTTCATTTTTTGCCCTATTTTTATTTTCTCCCACTATAAATGGTAAATGAATTTGTAAACCAGCTGGCCTGCAATATTGCATTATTGCTTATAAAAAATATGAACATGTTGAAGGTCTGAACGGTGTGATTTTTTTCTAGGAGAGTGCTTAGTATTTTATTTTAGTTGGGCGTATAAAGGCTCAGGTTCATAGACATAAAGAAAATTATGTTCCTGTATCCCAGTTAAAGACCTTCTAGGATGCTGTGCCTAAAAAGGCAGGGAACAACCAGCTGGTGATTTGCACTGCGATGACATGAAGTGATAAATGGTCAGTGTTGTCCAGACTCAAAAATCAGCATTTAAGATAGATTTTCCAGGTTTGTGGCAATGAAGCTTTGGCATAGTTGTAGAACAAGAAGGGAGGGTGGCTTCAGCCTGTATGCTCCATGTTCCCTGTTGATTTGTCATGTCCTTTGGCCTGAACTGTTGAAGGAATTTTTGGGAACTAAGACTCTCAGGCTGCCTTTGTCAACACTTACAGACCTTGAGGAAAGGGCTGACAGAAGAAGTAGGGCTCCTACTTTACATGCTTAAGTTATAATATCCAGCAAGTCTAATCTGAAGGCTTTGTGCTAAACTTGAGTACCAAAGCTTTGAAGTTAAGTCACTCTTGAGACAAATACAGTAATATATTTTTAATACTTACGGTTGGGTCCTTCTTTGTATTCATTTGGTGGGACATCTGTTGAAACAAATTCACAGGTTTAAGCATGTAGGGTAGATAACTATAGTGTTTATCCAAATGAGATTAATATTAAGCAACATCCACCAATGCTGAGGGTTCAATGTGCTAACTGCTCTTTGAAGAGCAAAATGCAGTCCTTACTCCATTGTCTTACAATATAGGTTACTATTTCAGGAAGGACAGATTTGGATAATAAAATAATGAGGTAATAGCCCTGCTCCATGTCTTGAGACAGAGTCCTGCACCCCCCTTGGGTTGTTTCCGAGAGAAGGACGCAACTTCTAGAACAGCTGCTGCAGATGCTGGACAAGATCACTACCCTGCTTTCTCCCGCTCTTTTCTGAGGCACCCAGGCTTGCTAGCATGAAGGAAGAGGGTATGGATTGAAAACAAGGATTGTCCTTGTCCATGAAAAGTCTGGTTGTCCCTGCTCCCTTTTCTCAGGTGTTAGCTCCTGTACAGCTGCAAAGTAGCTAACAGCAAGTACTCAGATAGCTTGGCAGACTCAGTCTGGTTCACAAGACCTCTTTTAGAGCTCCCTTTTGTTCTGTTAGGCCAAGCATTGATGTCATGCAGCAACACAAGAGTACACGTGTGACAGTGAGACAAGCTGTATTTCTGTAGAAATCCGCTTGATCCTGGTGGGATCCTGACCCTTAGTTTTCCAGCCAGTGACCCTAAAGCTCTCAGGATTGAATTATGCTCTGATTTCTGCTTCAGACTGTGCTAAGCAGAGCAAGCTACTGAACCCAGCTCTGTTCCATGGAAGAGTATCCCTTCCATCTGTCCAGAAACAGCCTGCAGGGATCACAGCTGACAAACTATGGCCTGAACAGGCACAAAGTCTGAGTTACTCTCACATCCAGCAGCTAACTCCTGTGAGGCTCAGGCACAAGAGCAGAAAACTGTCCAGTCCCAAAGGCACCCCAGGTTTTTGAAAACAGAATGATTTTGTACCTACCAGTGACACAATGGATAACATTAAGTATATTTGTAAGTGAAAAAGAATTCTTGAGATATTTGGTCATGCAAATGAAGTGACTCATTACCTGTATAGGACAGCAGATGGGAGGACCTCCGTCTCCAAAGCCAGCAGATTAAAACAGCTAGAAGGCCTATCAGAATGACAATGCAAATGATGCCAGCTGCTTGAGCAAGTCTTCCTTTTTTTCCTAGGTTTTCTGTGCTAGAACCATTGCTTTGCTTCTGCTCCATGTCTAGAATAAAATAGAAAGGGGATGTAATAAGGTGTAAATGTTCACATTTCATACCAGGCAAATATTTCACCAAATTTTACATATATAAAAAAATTCTGAGGGATTAAATATTTGTGCTATTTGTATCACTGTGATACTGGTGATTTCTTCTGAGCAAGGCACATCTCCAGCTAATAATGTCTAATAATACAATACCAGTTTACTCTTCCCTTTCATCACACTGCATCCATCCTTCTTTCTTCTTTTTTGTTCTTTCCTGCCAGCCTTGAGAGACTTTATGTTTGGGCTTGTACTTAGACTCAGTTAAAAATAAATCTATACAGAATCTATAATGTAAATCTCAATGTATTCAGAAAAGTGAGTGAAAACCTGTTTCCCTGAAATTAATGGAGAATCTTCACCTACTGCTGCAAACGGAAGGTTTTAAATCGCATCCCTTAACTATTTCAAGTGTCATGTGCTTTTAAAAACAAACAGAAACTGGTAATATGAAGGTCTTTTCCCCCAGAAGACAATATGACAGAATGCCATTAGGAAACTAATGACAAGGTTACTCAGTTTTCCTTTAATTTGGGATGACAGCATGGTATATTGTCATTTAAACACTCTACTGTGCAACTTTTGCTCGCGTGCACAGTTTTTGTTCCTGGAAATAGTTTATGTAGTTTGCCTATGTTTGTGGGATCAGTGTTGTTAAGTCCAGAGTATGTGATTCCTTGGAGTGTTCAGGTACACAAGTTGTGGGTATCCAGCTACAGTTATGCAAACAGTACAACCTCCTTGCACCAGAGTGCAGAAACCTGCGAGAGAAAGGGGTAGCTGGAGGTAGGACCAGGAATTGCAGTGAGATCAAAGAGCCACCTCCAGGTAAGCCTTCCCACTCCATACAGCTTCTCTACACAGTTTTGTTTGAAATAATGACTTCCAGCAGTGGTACTGTAGCTCTAACTTTATAGTTTTCTTTTTTTTTTTTTTCCTTTTTAATAGCTTTCTGATTTTGTGAAGAGTTGAGTGCTAAATACTTGCTTTTACTATTGATCACTCACATCAGCAATAAATAGCATATTATACTTGTGCTATTAGGTGTATTGTTCTATTCAGCTGACATTACCCACATTTCTGCAGGCCTGCTTTAAACAGTGCACTGTAATGAATTGAGTTTTGGAGACTGAAAACTGAACTTTGAAACTAGGTAGAGTAAAAAGTAAACATGAGTCTGCAAAGCAGTTGGGTAGGTGGTCAGAAATCATGGATCTGCTGTATGGTGGCCCTTGAAAAATAACTTAATTCCCCAAGTCAGCATATTCCCGAGGAACCAAAGAGTAAAGCACAGTGACTGCCTGGCGTGCAAGAGCTCCTCAGAGCTGTTGTCATCATACACTTTATGGGGTATTCACTTCAGTGTGAAAGAAGTAAACATAAAATGCATGGCTAGGCATAATTAGCTTGAAACAAAACCTGAGCTCTTCTCAGCACCTCTTGGAACTACTGAATTAACACATAGGCCTTGTTAGTGTGTATCTACGGACAGAGATGCACTGGTTGGTGTTCCTGCTATCTAGAAAACATGAAGCAGTGTGAAGGGACTTACAATTGGCTGATAGATTTTCCTGCAGCATTTCATTTTCTATGGAGCACTCTATTTGCATGTTGGAAGTGGCTTTCACCGTCAGGGTGCTGAAAACGCTGTAGGTGCCGTCGGCGTGGGAGATGATCTCCAGCGTTGATGCGTTCAGGAGACTGTTGTTCATTTTATTTATCCAATAAACATTGGGCTTTGGGTATCCATTGCCAGACCTGCAGCTGAAAGTCACCTCCTCTCCAGTACTGTTTCTTATTGGTCCACTGAGTATTGGTTGGCTGTAACTAGCTGGAGAGCAAGAGAAGAAGAAACAGTCGCTGATACTTTGAAACACGTTGAGAAGACAAAATTCTGACGTGGGCTCTGAAGCAGAACTTCTGGGTTTCACATGGCCTTCATAACTTGAAAGGGAAACACCTGCAGGTTCTCTCAGCCCAGAGGGCTGAGAATTACTGGAAGGGCAGAAAGCTAAAGCCAAACCCAGAGGAAGAAAGCAACTTCTTAAGCTGCTGTCACCCAGCCACGTGCAAGAGTCTTAATATTAATGAAAAACAAGAGGAAAAGAAACACACACTGGGTAAACAGTTGTTACAGGTATTCTCCCAGGTTTAGATTCCCTGTTTGTAATATTTAAGTTAAGCACACATCATTTCAGCAAAGGGCTAAAGTATGTTTCCAAGGGTGTGCTTAAATGTAATGTAGAAATAGCATGAATTTGAAAAACTGAAATGAGAATTTGGGCAAATATGTGTAAGTGACACAAGTTCTTACCTGCTAAACTGAGAACCACTTCTGCCTGGTGAACCACTTTGGGAAATTCTTTTTTCTCCTGTACTATACATTTGTATGTATGTTTATCACTCTGGCTGACATTCAGTAGTAGTAGAGAAAAATCACCATTTTCCAACCTGTCCCAGAATAATTGAGTCCTGTTTTTAAAGTGAATACACTGATTGCTGTAGTTGTCTCGACCAGAGACCAGTGCATGCACAACTGAACACTTCACTTGATCGGCGATTTGCCAATATACCCGTAGATTTTTTAATTGCAAGTCTCTTTTGTCATAAATGCAACTTAGTGTAGCGTTGTCTCCGAGTTTGCTGATGATGTTCTTCTTCTCTAGTGCAATAACTGCAGGATCATAAGAGAGAGAGAAATAAGGGAGGTTATGTGGAAAAAGGGTCATTATTTTCAAGTACATTCTACCACATACAGACTCCAGTATTAGTATTTATAACAGGTGTGTGTGTGCTCACTTCATAGTCATTCCTACCACATGACTTGCCAGTGGCTAATTCTCTCCACATCCATTTTTCTGTATATTGTCCAAAGGGACCATTTCTCTGAGGACCAACCAGTCTTAAGTGTTCCCAGCCCCATGGATATCCACATGTTGCACTTTGCCCACTGACTGCAGACACATATTCAAGCCCTAATGCTTTAATAATCACTTGGAGGCTTTTTTTAATTAAGAAAAATTCCAAGTGACAGGAGGTAAATCACGAGAAAGGGAAACACTGATGAGAAAAAGAGTGCTACCATTATTTTGAGACCCAAAAAATTAAGAAGGGGACTAAAAGCAGTGTTTCTGAAAGCAAGAATGCCATAGAAATCACATTTAATTGCTACTGTCGGTGACACCCTCTCAATAAACACATACAGATGGCAAAACAGCCTGGCCAGATGCCTCCAGTGACACATCCATTAGACATTTAAAACTTAAGGGTCACGTGAGGTACGTGGCTTTCAGAACGTATTTGGCTTTCAGAACGCTTTTCCTGCCTTCCAGACTGGAGCAGCCTCTCCTCCTGGTGAGCAGGGGGGAGGTGAGACCTGACTGATAAGTGATGTAGAAAGCACAGTGACACCAAGAGGGCCAGGGCAGCTCTGCCCACAGCTTCCCTGCTGAGGATGCACTATTTCTTCACCCCAGCAGCCAAAACCTCCTCGGTGCAACTGGTTGCTGACACCAAAGCAGTGTATGTGTTGTAAGTGTCAGGCAGGGGGTGAGAGGGGGTCAGGCATGGGGTTGAATGGGAGAGATTACATCTGGGGGAAGGGTTTATGTGGGTGGATGATTTGGGAAAGAAAGATGATAGGATTGAAGGTTTGGAAATGCGGAAACAGGGCATGGTGAGGTGGGAGGGAGGCATCGATATTAAAGGGGGACCTCTGTTTCTGAGGGTGCACTGAACTCAGAAATAGCTCATTTACACATCTGAGTTGGGCACCCTGGCTTTAAAACAGCAATGAAGCAGATTGCAGGGAGGAAGGTGGGATGTTTTCCAGGCCCTTATCCTCCAAGGAGTCAGACAAGAAGTTACAGGCTTGAACTGCAACACAGATGCTGTGGCTCAGACTTCGGGAAACCCCCTTCAATAGCAGGAGAAGTGGCACCCAGGGAAGATGAGGTAACCTCCACCACTGGCGTTCTGCAAGAAGAGGCCAGCTGGCATCTACTGAGACTGAAGCTGGTACAGTTTGTCTTGATGTTGGGGCTAGGGAGTTTCCTTGATGATTTTTTTGAGGTCCTTCTCAATGATTAAGCAGGAACTGAGGAGAGACAACTCTAAAAACACTTAAATATCACCAGGTGATGTCGCTTAACCCTACCTTCGTTTTGCAAGGGATATTTTGGAACTGTAGTAAAAGACTTACTACTATTGGCTGCTGGACACTGTGATGTATAATTCTAGTCATGAGTATCCAGGCACGTTAGATCTGCTTATCAACAGCCCTTATTAGTCCACTTCGAAGGCCTTTTGTTGGCAGAGATACGTAAGCAGGGATATCTCTGAAGCAAGCAAAGCAATCTGAGCAAGAGCATCCATGAGGTCCCTTGCTGTTCTCTGCAGTGAAACTGATAAAAATTGATTGTTCCTTCTTTCCCTGATGCATGTCAGAGAAACATTTCACACTGAGGAATTTTTAAGTATCTTGCTGAAAACAGGCAGATGATTATATTGTGCATTTTACAACTGCTTTGTGTATTTGGCCAAACATAATAAACACAATAAAGGGAGGGAAGCTTAGTTTTTAACTGAAGCGTTCTGCACTTACCAGCTCTCAGGAGATGCAGGAGCAGTAACAGAAATCCATAACTAAAAATAAAAGCAAACAAGAGCGTTACATGATTGACTTTAGAGTCTCTCTTGTTTAAATAAGCAATAAACCCAATATTGATTGTTTTAGTACAGTGGCAGAAGTAGGTAAATTAGGTACTGCTACTGTGTAATGCCCCATTAAGTATTTGCATTTTTGACAGCTGCGAAACTTCTGTTCATAACTGTGGGTAGGTGGCCAAGGCCATGAATAGCAGCAAAATGCACTAATATTGGAATCAGAGCAGAGGGCATGAAGCTGGTATTGTGCCTGTCTCTTTTGTGAAAAACAAAGTGGATTGACAAATGGGACAAAGATGGACAAACAGGCCCTGGAGGCTATCTGGATCACTGGGAAGGACAGTGGATGCCCAGGTCGAAACCCAGGTTTTTCATACTTTTGCTGAAACCCAGGGAGTTATGGTTTTGTCTGGGTAAAGGTCAAAGAGCAGCTGACCACATTGCCCACCAGTTTGTGCACTCAGTAAAAATGTGTAAACAGGAAACGTGCTGATAGTGGAGAGCACTGGAGTGGAGTGCAAAGGTTTTGCTGGAAAGAATTCGGTGTGTTTGATTACTCAGGAGGGACAAATCTATGCAAGAGTTACCCCAGAGTGTTATAGGAGATAGATACTATAGGAAAACTCAGTTTAACCTGTCTACAAAGTCCAAGTGACTTAACTGTCATCCCACAGGGCTTTAAGGAAGATAAATGCGCAGCACTTTCTTAGGAGTTACTTTAAAGTAGCCTTTCACCGCCATGCCTAGTTACACATTGTTCTCTCCTTCCTCCAGAGTGCTGTGGGAAGGGAAAGGAAAGGTTTTGGAATGCTGGAAAGGTTTTGCAATGAGACTTTTCTGGCTGCAGTTGCCCACCTTGATATTGCCCCAGGTACAATAAGATTGCAAAGCTGAGCTGATGGGCAGAGGGACACGAGCACTGGCTCGTTGCTGGTTTGCCCAGCTCACTCTTGCAAGCAAGCAAGACTGTGAGGCCACACTACTTGGGTACAGCTCCCTTCCTCAGCTGTTCTCAACCCTCAGCCAGGTCCAACACTGAGCCAAGGGTTGGGGGCAATGGGTAGAGCTGCCTCCAGCAGTCCATGTCCAGCCAGGATCGAGCTCCAGGATCTGCCACCCAGATCGCTCACTGCCTTCCCTCCCAACCCTGACCCTCCTCCCTCCAAGCCCTAACCTAAGCTCACTCCCCCAGCAGCCATTTCTCACCTTGCTTTTCCCCATCAGCTATGCTTTACAACATCCCTTCTCTCTCTCTTCCAAGCTTTCTGCCCTTTCCCCACAGCTTCTGCTCCTTTGTCCATCCAAGCATAGGAATTTATACTCCACTTCCCAGGCACAGCATTGCTTTTGCCCAGCTTTACTCCTACCAGCTTCCTCAGGAACAGCCTGGGGCTCCTCTGCTGTGAAGGAGTGTCTCTAATTCCCACCTGCCTCTCCCAAAGTTATAATCCCCCCCAACATATTTGGCTTCCCATGGAGAAAGCACAGAACATTCCTGACACAAAATCTACCTCCACTTGAAGCCCCATCTCCAGAGACTGAGATGGAGAAAGTTTTGGGGAGAAGCACTATGAACTGTATTTCTTTTATATGAAGGAAACACTTCATTTTTCTTTTCTGTGTCCTTTGAAACAGTTTCATAGATGAGGTTTCAAATGTTTAAGTGGATGACCAGTGTAGAACGTTTCTGCTCTATTACTTATTTTAGTGAATCTGCCATCAGGCTTAAAGGAACTCTCCTAAGTAATTGTACCTAAACATTCCAGAGAGGCAGCTCTGCTCTGCTCTGTCTCTGTCGGTGACTTTTGGTGGCTTTTGCACATGCCTTTTTATTGTATTCCTGTTGTATTTTTATATAGTGCAGGAGTCATCACTTTTGTGCCAGGTTTCTAGAGATCTGTCTTGATAACCTCAGTTTAATGTAGTCTTTAATCTTTCTTAATCCTGTGTTTGTTTTATCAATCCCCACCCACATGGAAATTATGGATATAGCAACTCATTTGAATGAAATACAAAAAGTAACTGACTTATCTTTAAGGGACTCCTTAGGGAATTTCCCATGGTAGGCTTTTGCTAATGTCAACAAACATTCCAATAGTCAGCCAGAATCGATTCTCATATGTATGTATGTACACAAAGCAGATCCTGATTTCTTATTTTGATAGTGATGCACAGCCAAGATTGGACAGATCTCATCCTCTTACTTGGAGGAGGTTGCAGCTGTGGTTGTGTGGGGGCAGTGTCAACCCACCGTGTTCCTCTGGAATAGCATTAATTCCCAGCTTCTACTGGAAAAAGGGAGAAATGCTCTTGCCTGCAGCAAACCCTTTGTTTTGTCCTCTATGTACACCCAGCTCCTGTGTCCCCCACACTAGCAGTGAGCTCCAGTAAGTTTCTTAGGTTTTCTCTGATTTTTAAAAGATATTTTAACTTTAATTATTTTTTCCTTTCTCAAGTCTTTCCCACACCTTCCCTCTTCTGCATTTTTTTTTTTTAAATGCCATATGAAACAGGAGAAAGTTGCAGTTCCCTTTTCATACATTCTTATTTGATGAGATCATTCTTCCTACCAGCATTTTTTCCATCACTGCTCATCTTAGAGCCATGGAAGGTTGCTGCTCTGGCACAACCCTGCCAGGCAAAAGATGTCCCGATGCTTTCAGTTACAACAACCATTTGAGATCCACTTTACCCCCTTGAGATCCACTTTACCCCCTATCCTTGTAGCGACACGGCTCTTCTCGCATCAGCAGGTGCCCCAAACAAGTTACCTGCGGAGTTTTTCTAACACTTGCCCTAGAGAAACGCCAACCTGGGCAATAAAAACTCAGCTGAGTCATCTCCCATAGTTCACTTTCGGCTAAAAATCTCCATAAAATGCCCGTTAATTGCCTGTAGCCCTCGAACGCGGAGAGACAAGGGGTTCCAGCCCGGTTGACGGGGGAGGAGGTTCTGGGAACATCCTCATCCTCTCGGCTCCGGTCCCGCGGCTCCGAGAACCGGGAGCGCTGCGGGACCCGCCGGGGGACGGGAGCTGCCGACGGGAGCTGCCTCCGGGAGCCTTTATCGTTGCAACCGCTGTCCAGGGATCAGGAGTGTTCCCCTCGCCCTTGATTCCAGTCAAGCAGCCCACCCGCGCCAGCGCTTTCCCTGCCCGCTGCAGCAGCGAAACTCGCATTTCCCTAAAAGGGGAATGCGCATCCCTGTCCCGGAGTCAGCCGGGGAGTTCCCCCCGTGCCCCAGCGATGAATGAGGGGGGCGGCAGGTCCCTTTTTTCCGCGGCCCGGGGTCACTACTCACCCTCGCGGATCCATCGTGCGGAGCTGAGCTGAGCAGAGCTGAGCTGAGCTAAGCCAAGCCGGCAGCTGCCCGCCGTGGGCCGTTCTCCTTTCTCTCTCCACGCCTCCTCCCGCCGGGGATTTCCGTCTCTGTGCGCTCGGAGCCGTGTCACGGCCAGGGCTGTGCAAACCTGGGACCCCCGGCACTGGCGATGCGGAGGGTCTCGGGCACTGCCCCATCCCCACCGACCCTTTCCCAGAGCCTCGCCGGGACCACTTGGCAGGAGCTCCCGGTGCCGCGGAATCCCGCCTGTGCCCCTCACTGCCGTCTCTGGAGCTACAGGGGAGGACTGGGGAGTCAGTGCTGGGCGCCGGGTTTAGAGATAGCACAGAAAGAGCGGCACCTTCTTGGCCCTGCGATGCGGAGACCGGCCCCACGCCTCCCGGGGGTGGGCAGGGTACTGCACCCGGCAGCGCTCAGGGGTCCGGGGAACCGGTGATGATGTGTTTCAAAGTACACTGGGTCTATGATCACATAAATAATATATTTGTCACATATTTTTATTTGGTAAATAGCTAAATGGTGTTTGGTAGAGAACACAGCTGCGCCCGAAGGTGCCGTAGGTAAGAATTCTGACAGAGCCGCGCTGGTGAGAGGTGTTGAAGCACCAGCCGGTTGACTGAAAGCTGTGGTTCACAGTCTCAGCCGTTTCGTTTCTGGTTCCACACCCGTGGCTGTGTTTGACTTGTTTTTTGTCAGGCCCCCCAGCCCAGCGTTTGTGACCCGCAGCACGAAGCTGTCACAGCCGCGCTGCAAGCGAGCGGCACCGCGTCAGTGGCTGAGATCTGCCACGTTCGTGTTTTATTTCTCCTTTGTTCTAGTCGCCCTGGGAATAACCAATTACTTTGTGCACGATGAGCACGAAACTTCAGGGTTGTGCAAGACTGCAGGTCTCGATGCCGTTTCCGCTGCCAGCCAGCAGCAAGAAGGGGTTCTCTCAGTTTTGGGTCTTAAAGCTGCATTACTTCAGCCTCTCTGTGTATTACTGATACACTTCAAATTAGTAACAGGGTTGGGAGGGCAGACTTGAATTTATTCTAAATTTAAAGGAAGATAAACATTCTTATGGAATTATTGCTGAGTCAGAACACATTTGCAGCAGCCAATTCATATCTTTCACTGAAGTATTTCCTGATGGGATATCCTAGTCTGGGAACTACTCTTTTCTTATTTTGGGTGCTTTAATAACAGTCACTTGGTGAACAGGGATGCACATGGAGTCAGTTCTTTGTGGCTAAAAGCTTCCTGACTTTAAAAGCCTGTGGCTTAACTTTATAAGTGAATTTTTAGACATCTGGATATAGATTTGTTCTCTCTAAACTGCACTCTTCTGCTCTTCTTTGCAGTGGTTTCTATCATGCTTTTTTCACACACGATGAATAAGAGCAAGCCTACTACTACACCTGCATACCAGTTCTGGTGGAAAGGAGTTTCCCAATAAGCAAGAAAGACAAATGTGTCTCCATAGCCAGAAGACTCTTCGGGATTTAAAAAGATGAGGTGCAAACCTCTTCACCAGGCTTTTGAATTCGTCTTGCCTGAAATCCTAATGAGTTTTTATTCTATAAGGCAACATTGTACTCTATTTCCCTTCTAAATGATGTTCATTAAGGCCCAGCCTTAGGCAGGTCCTTAGTTCTCAGAGTATTTTTAAAAACACCCAAATTGTTGACAGCTGATTTGTCCTCTCTTTTGTGTGGTCACACCACTTGACACAAATTAAGGCATTTAAAGCTGTCAGGAGAAGAAACAAACTCCTAAAGCTTGTACTTGGCAAATATGTTGCCTCTGGACTCTGAAACTAGAAACACTAGGAAGAATTGGGGAAAAAAGAGGAAGAAAACAGTACTTCAGTTTTTCTGGGCTGTGAGACAGAGAAGTGATCTACGTAGCAGAGAGTAGGAGAGCTGTTTGATTTCAAATGGATGTCATTCAAAGAGAACAGGTGAATCTGCAAAACACCTTCAGTGTTGAGCTCATTAACACAGTTATTGAGGATACAGAGAGAGTGACTGAACTTTTTGAAACAGAGACATACCTCTCTCTTTATATACAGAAGAACAGACAATCTCAGACAAATTGAACACCTCTGGGGACAGGAAAAAAGGGGTGACGTGGCTGTATGTGATGTGGAGAACTTAAACCGTATTTGGAGTCAGACAGCCATGAAGGAAATGCTGTGACACTTGAAATACACCACATCCTTATGGAATGGTCTCCACAAGTGTCTGGCTTTTGCGCTGTGGAGACTTCAGTGCATGACACTAAAGCTAATAAGGCATCACTTGCAACTGAGAAAAAAGTCAAGAGAAAAATGACAGTAGCTCTGGCCACTTGTGCAATTTTATGTGTGAGTAAAGAACAAAAGATGGTACAAGGCATAAATGATTTTACAACACTTTTGCAACACTGTCTACAGAAGAGCTAGCCAAAGTAGCAAATGGAATAGAGACAATGAGTCTTAAAAATAGAGGATGAAGGGAGGATAGTGCACAAAAGCAAGTAGTTTCCTTGAACTAGGGGAGACATCTGGGGCAAAACAGCAAAGCTGAGTGCTAACAAACAGAGTGGTGATGAAACAAGGGAAAAGATGGGATTACAAGATAAAATATTTTGTGATTCTAAGATCCTTCGAGATGGTGAGCTTGGCCTGATGAAATGGAAAAGAACTGCCAAGAAATACTCTTGACAGAAGTGAATGAACTAAGAGAAAACAATAGTCTGTTTGCTCTCCAGCTCACATTTTGTTGTCACACTCAGGCCAAAAATATCACTTTTAACACCTAAATTCCAATACTGTTCCATGCAAAAGAGGAAACTTGTAGCCCTGTAAGATATCTGTTTTGGGAAACATGTGTTCTGTGTACATGGTGGCAATGGCAATCCATTTATATATACCCAGAAAAGGGAAGGACTATGTTACATTTAGTTATGTTGTTAGAAAAGAGGACTGGTATTCAGAGTTCTTTATTGGTTGTGCATATTCATTTCCCATTGATTTAAGGAAAGCAAGGGAAAAAATAATTTTGCAATACTTTTCCCTGCTCACTGTGTTTGGGTGTGTTGAAAACAACAACAAAAAGGATTGACAACAGTATATGATTGCTGAAAATGTCTCTTCAGCCTCTCATATTTAGTCCACATTATCCTGTGTGGAGTGATCCCAAATAGAAGAGTGGTCTTGCTGTCTGAATTGCCCTCTGCTCTTTTCCTCAGCTTTGTTTCTGCCAAATACACTTTTCTCTGATCACAAGTGGCAAAAGCTCCTCTGCTAAGGAAACTTGATAATGCATCAAAGAAACTGTTGTGGAAATGGAGTTCACAGATTTTAGAGTGTGAAATGCCTTCTAGAGAAGGAGATTATTTTCTTTTGCCCATGTTCACTACATTAACAATAAGAATGACATGAGAGCGAGCAGAGCTGAAAAACAAATTCAGAATCAAGTCATATGCAGCTGCCTTTAGCTAAGGAAGAGAAGGAGCAGGTTGTCTGAGACCATTCAGCAGAAATTTTCTTTCTCCAAAAGGAATATGTTGGTTTTTAGGGTGACTTCTCCAGCATGGGGTTTCTTATCCCACATAACATACAGCACAATGAAAATCCTCTGAGCAATTAAAAAAAACCAAACAATCACAGCTAAGCCTGAATCCCAGTGACTGGCAAACTCTCTACAGAGAGCATGAAGAAGGAGTTTCTGATGCATACATTGACTGATCTCTTGTTTGAACTAAAGCAAGATATATAGGTATATATACAGGAATAAAGGTAGATAGAAACTTCCAAAACCAGTTTCAAACCTCAACCTTCCCAAACTGTAGTAAGATTAGACTCATAAAATGCCATACAATTAAGATCTCTTTGTTTCTGATCATCATGATATTCTGTGGAAAGAGCTAATGAAATTTTCAAAGCAAATGCTCAAGAGCCATCTCGGCAATAGCTGAACAGGTAAAATATTTCTCAAATACAAATACACTTATGTAAAGTCTCAAGAGTAAAATTTACTCCAACATCATAAGTATAAAATGCAGTAGAGGTATTTATTGTACAAATTGAACATTTTTGTTATATATCTCACTGAACATCAAGAATTTTAAGAAGCAGATTAAAGCAAAAAAATATTATCCATAATTTTATAGATGTAATTTTAAATTGTCTATGCTTTTGATTATACCAATATTAGATTGTTAAAGTAAATGAGCTCTGATTTGAAATTATAAAACATATTAAGCATGGGTTTGGAAACTGATATAGTGTTCCAAGTTGACAGTCTAAATTGACCTTATAGAAAGCTATAATAAACAATATTCTTAAAACAGCATTAGAAAGCAAATATGCGTCTGTCCTTCTATAAGCCATTGCCATGAACTAAAGAATCTAGCAAATTTTGGAAACTAATCTCTGATGTGAAAATATTCCTTCTTGAAATAAAACACAGCTGTATTCCTGGAGACATTAATGTCAGAGCAAAACAGTGCCTATCACATACCTAAAATAATGTTTTAACATTGTGTTTAAAATTAGAAAATTTAGGAAAGTGTTTATTTCTCCTCATGGCACAGTCAAATAGCAAACCATGTAATGCAACAGGATATGATATGGGTGCCAAGCAGTGAGAAACAGGAACTGAAATCAGTATGACTTAATGCTGTTTATTGAATTATTTGATAAGAAAACGTTACTATTCCCAGGATTTGATGAGAACTGCAGTTTCATTTTAATGTAAAAAGCTGTTCTGGCCCTTATAGGACTCAAAAAATTCCCTCTGATACCACTTGAAATACAAAGTGTAGATACAGTGTAATGTGGCATTTGGCTTTTGAAAATGTGGTTGCTGGACAGACGAGTGGTTTGGCTGAATTCCCCTAAAAGCCCAGTCTTCTGAGAGACATAGTGGTCAGAGTATTAAGACTGATTCCATAATGGGTTAGAGGCATGTCTTCAGCTGTCAGTCTTATGGTGAGTACAGGTGGGGGGCTGTCATGGTTTGAGATAGCCCCAAAATCCAATCCCCTAGTCTAAGCCCCCTCCCACATCTCAACCTAATGTGAGATGGGTTTTTCCAGACAAAACACACCAGACTCCAAGTGGGGGAAAAGGGAATATATTACAATGACTGTACAAATAAATACCATATCACATTATACACATGATCATAACTATCTCTACCATGACATATGTATTTACAATGGACCAGATCTCCTCTCCCCTCCAAATAAAAGTCCAGGAGGGAAAGAAGGACAGATCCCTTCCAGTCTCTTAAGCAGCAGGAG